TCGAGGTGCGAACAAGACAATGCTGAGTTCGATCGGTAAGTCATGTATGGGAATTTAATAGGCTGGCTCGTGAACAGCTGGACACTGAGAAGCCATCCAGCAAAACAGAGCAGAGCGTTTGATAAGACGTCGGCTGCATAACCACACACCGCCCCATTCGTCCTTGTTTATGAAACATAGCGTGAACGAGGCGATGTGTGGAAACTTTGGGAATACAATTCACAGATATTTGTCAAAGTGCAAGAAATTAGCCTTCCTGAGTAACTATTGTTTTGCCCGTGGCGTGTGTAAGCTGTTCACTTTTAGCCTTGTTGATGTTGTCATTCATTTGCTGTTTGCAATGCTGTTCGTTTATATGAGGCACTATTTCAGTGCTGTAAATGGGGGGGGGGGGTGTTCGATGGTGCTACAAATTTATGCCAATTTACAGTGTATTCATACAGTCCTGTTTATGACACAACAGTCAAAACAGCAACAGTATAGTGAGACCCTCTCCAAGCCACTTTGAGAGTTGAAAAATGCGACGTATCAATTTTCTCTTGGCTGTGTTGTGAAGGATATGACCCTTCCAAACATACCTTGTGAACACCGGCTTTGTTTCTGACCCGAATAATAAATTTGTCAGGGCAGTCTACTGTGTACTGAAAACAGATTTTGTACACTGCCTAACTAACTACTTGTTAATGGATAAACTTACTCATATTTTTGGCTACTTGGATGTACAAATATTCACTCAAAATTTGGAGAGGTATAGGGACTGAATATGGAATGCCGCCGTAAAAACTTTTTCCCTTAGTGGTGTGTTGATGAGAACTCTGCCTTCTACTAGGAGAGTAGGGGAGGACAGGCTAGTGTTAAGCATGGCCGATTTAAAAGTTTGAATGGTGGGAGTTCATAACATGTATCAAGTTTGGGTTATAACAATTTCTGGCTCTTTTGATTAGTGCCTTAACACTATACAACTGGTGGAGATACAATTTCAGCTGGTCCTTTCAGCATTTTAATAGCACAGCTCTCTGTCGTCTGTCTGCATTCTCGTCCTCTTACTTGCAATTGTTTGATCTTTCCTCCTGCCTAGTGAAATTTACCTGCCTTTTCTTTGTTCGTTGAATTCCAAGGTTTGTTCCCGGACACCAACTTGTGTATGTGTGTGTTATGCAATAGCCGTTCAAAGACTTGTTTTATTTAAAATTTCGCTCAGTATTAGCCCATGCTGCATCTCTCAGCTCCTAACCACCACTACGTTTTAATGTAATACACCAACATTTAAAAATGTCACTACAAGTTCAGTTACAAAAAAAAATACTTGAGAGAAGAAGAAAAAAAATAAAAACAGAATGGAATTCCCTAATCTTCTAAAACTGCAATCCTATCATCACAGACATCTAAAGTGTAATATTATTCACCCTGAGTTGAACAACATCCGATCTTGCATAAAAACGAGAAAATGTTTTTTAAAGATCTCATCGGAACTCAATGAAAGGAAGTGGCAATATTTCATAGGTATATAGTTGACCGCTTTACCTGTCAAAGCAGCATGAATACGAATACTTATTTTTCAGTAGGGTTATAGTAACTGACTTGTTGGAATGTGTGCTATACACTATTGATGAGCTTACTGACTCTGGCTTGTAATACAACTCGTAAATTTAACCTGCCTGGCAGGTTGATTTCTTGTATTTTTTGCTTATGGTTGGACAACTAACACTGACACCTGGAGGGAGGGGGTGATGATTAACTGGCACGAATATGCAAACACGGTTTATGATTTCATGTTTAAAGATTGTGGCACTTAAGTGAAAAAAATGATGTTTCAATGAAACAGTAGAGTATTTCAGTGCATTTAGTTGGTCATTGAGGTTATTAAACCAAAGTGTGGTGGGGTGGGGTCTTCAGAATTTGCCAGATATGTGAAATATAACATGATTTGAACCTAAAACCTGTAGTGATCTCTAAATGATAAAAAATGTTGAACAGTTTTGAACAACAGTATCATTGCGTTGAACATAACAAAATAATTTTTTGTTTGTCAAAAAAACATGTTTTCAATTTATTTTTCTTTTGATCCAATGTAGCACATATAATAGAGGTGACGTCAGTCGATGTAATAAACCATATGAATGGTAACATGGTAATATGTTGTGCATACGATCGATGCATCTCAGACAATTGAATGTCACTCACCTGTCACTAGGGTAACTTTATGATAGTTTTGTTTATTATTTCCCTACTAAAACAAAAACTTGACTAAGCAATGTCAATTTTTGTCAGGTATTGAGTAGTTGGCCAGATTCATCCTATACATGGTGTTGTACAACAATTAAACTTTCCATAGATAACTATATATAAACTTGAAAAATCCTGTACCAAACATTTTAAAAAGTTGTTTCACTAGTTTTTATAGTTGAATAGTCAAAATTGTTTTATCATCCATGTAGCAGTTAAAAGTTTTTAAAATGGGGCCTAGTATGATAGTGTCATTTTTTTCATATTTCTCAAAATATAATATCAAGGCATATTGCAGATGACAAAATGTGTCCCATTTCGTCCAAAATCATCTATGAATTTTTTTTTTATGTTTCAGTTTGATCAAGGCATGTTCTCAATGAAAAGCTGACTATTTGTTCCAAAAATCTAAGAAATTGTAGAAAAAATACTTAAAAATTTGTGAAATGTGGCATCATTGTTTTGGTGGGCAAATGTTGGCATTCAAATAGTCTGGATTGATTATTTAAATATAATTAGATTTGAATAATTAATTAGTTTAAAAAAAAATAGGCTTCATGTGTAGTGTCAGGTTATTGTATTAATTGTCGTTTTTCTGTTTAAAGTCAATGTACTTTTAGATTTGCACATTATTTGCACATTATTATTTTTTCCAATTTGACATTTATCATTTTTCAAATCGGCACAAAGATAAATGATTTTAATATTGTAAAGTAGAAAATATTTTAATGAGAAGGTTTTGTAAACATTTATCAATGTCAACATTTCGCTACAGATATTATATAAGTGATAGTTAGTACACATCAACTACCGGTATCAACAGATGACTTTTGTTATTATCCTTATCGGAACCTTGTTAAACACGACATAATCACGAGAAACTCTTTGAAAACACCGTCTTCATCATCACGTAAGCTGCCTGGTAATAAATGAGAAAAAAACGTGTTCATTAGTCATTGTCGGAAGTTTGTTGCACAAAAGACCCATTTTAATTTTTTTCAAGACTGGTTTGAAGTCTCATTATACGGCTAGAAATAAATGACAAAATCAAGAAGTTCTGTATTATAACCGTTTTAGTGTCATGGGAAACTAATGCATCTGACATCTCTAAGACAGTGAGTCACAGTATCTTTCAGTAGTTTTCTAGGGAGTCACATAGACTTTTACTGGGGTCCTAGGGAGTCACAAAACTTTACTGAAATTTTTGCCTCATGAATGCTTTGAAACCATGAAATGTTTTACATTTGCACAAGAGACAAATTTGAGAGAATCAGAGAATACTGTGAAATTTTGTAGCATTACAAATTTATTGTATCATTGAAATACCACTTATTTTAATTAATCATAAAAACACCTCTAGTTTATGTAAGCACATGTGCTACTAATAGAGCAAATATGGTATTGCATAATGAATGCCGCCAAATTATATCACATATATATACCGTATACTGTAGAGTGTCAACTAAAAATGTTATTGTTTCATAAATTTTATGGCGTGATGAAAGATGAATACATTTCCCGACAAAATAAATTTGTGTGAACTATGATGTGAATCCTACCTAAAGTCATGTCTAACATTTTGCAATTTTACTGATCTCATTAGATAAAAACATTTTTTGTGCAATATTAACCTTTTGAAAAGTAAACTTTCGCCACTTTTCATGGAATTTTTTTCAACAATTTTGATCAAATCTTGTTACCAAAAGGAAATTGTGCGCATTTAGTTCAAAATTATCTAAAAATACTAAAAAAATTCAAAAATATAATCAAAATGTTGATGGGAAAAATTATAGCATCCAAAGCGTTACAGTATTTTAATATGCATATTTATATTTACTTTATTTCCCTAAAGAATATATGTATTAATGAAATGTCTCTTTATTCTCCTACACGATACGATAGCAGCCATGATTCAATTACAGAAATAAACATATAATGTTAAAAGAAAATACGTCTATAGTTTCCTATAAAGTTTAGTATTGTTATTGAGAACCTCGGGCATGTCTGGATTTAAATGGTTTGTTTTATACTGGGTCTGTACTTGTGAAGGTGACAACAAGTGCAGACTAGAGATATCAAATACTAGTAGTCTAGACGACACAGTGTACGTATTATTATAAATAAAATATTTTTTAATGTTGACTGATGTGTTTTCTTCACCTAAAGTTTTCATTGATTATTCCCTCCATTTAGAGTCTTTAAGCAAGTTTGTAAAACGGTTATTTTCAATTCTGAAAGCATACTGATTTCTAGCGTCAAACAAAACTACTGATGCAGTGAATGTAAAATGTCAAAAAAGCACGATCTAACGTGAGTAGAAACTTGTGTATCCGGAAACTGTGATGATTACAGGGAGTCTTTACTGTAAATGTGAATTTGTATGATTTGAAGCTGGGAATGCTGTATGCAAAATTGTCAGGTGAATAGGGTTCCCTGTTTGAAAAGGAGGATATAGTTGTTTTTGTGAAAAAGTATTGTCTTGGATGAAAAATGTAAAATAATTATAAGAAACAATATGTCAGACTTGTATATGTAATTAAAATATTTGAAAATATCAACAAAAAACTGGTGAGTAATCAAACAATGATCTCTCTCTGGATTTTGTAAACCATTTGATAATTATTTCTATTGTAGCAAAAGAAATATAGAAATTTGATAATCCTAATATCCAAATTAGCCACTCTGCTTTGACATTTAATTGGGAAGAAAGAAATTAGTCTCCGTCATATTTATGGGGAATGTACTGCAACAGAAAAAAATTGACACAAAATCAATGAAAGAATGTAAGAATGCAAATTCATCCAGGGAT